ACTGTATCGCACACGTGAGTCCTCATTATTATTATTATTCGCTCGGTGGTCTTGAGGGTTAATCTTAGAGATATGCTATATATGCTCACAAGTCTAAGATCCATGAAACATGTCCCCGAAGGTTTGTAGGGTGATTGCAATAGGAGTAAATGGGGTATGTGGAATATATCCATAAAATGTGACGTACTCTAACTCTTGCCCGTGGAATAGCCTCCACGAAATGCCTTAAGCTACAATTGTCAGACGTAATACTATTGTATTTCTAAAGGACAGACCTTACTAAGGGAACGACCCCTGAGGAAGCTTGCACGAGAAGATACATCTGGTTTGAGCTAGGTAGGTCAAGCAGGCCTCGGAGACAATATCATCTCCAGGAAATAGTCTTTCTGGGTCCTCAAACAGAGGTGGGTTCTCATGGAATCTTGCTCGTATGTGTTCGACGAATGGCTGCTGTGTGGTAGCGCCCTGCGAAACGAGAAGGCGGAGAGCAGATCGGAGGATAGCCGGCGGTACTAGACCCTTGGTTAGAATACGGGTACTAGTTAAATAAAATGAAACGCATGATTTTTTTTATTCACGAACAGTTCGATATTAGACAATCGTCCATCATATTTCTTAAGACATGCGTTAGGTATGATGTTTCTTATGACGGTGCCATTAAACTGCTTACACATGGCCTGCCATGACTCATAAATAGATAAATTTTCTATACTATCTCTATAGTATGAAATTGAGAGATACTAGATCAGAAATTCATAAGCGATAATTCTTAAGGGCAGTTTATTCAATCTTAGAGTCGGCGTTACGCGTGGAATACGGAGCATAAGAGAGTAAGGAGATAGGAATATTTAAATCCCTATGATAAAGTAAGCCAGCGATTCAGACTGGCACGTAACCAATGACGAAGTTTCTACGTAGGATAAGTCCCGCAGATATTCAAATTCGGGTTGTCCAAACAAGGCAGGTCATGAATTATATATACCTCGATTGTAATTACTAAGGTAAGCTGAGCTTACTTACACTTATACCACAAGCGACAATCAAGGGCGAGGTATGCGGAGATCGGGGTTTCCTACCTTCAGGTTCTATGATAAGTTTAAAGGGTAGTATTCAGATCCCCCGCTCCTATCATCAACTGCCCCTGAATTAGCCGTGAGCAAGGTTCGCTTAATATACTATCATGTGTTACATGAGCCCAGTTGTGATGCAAAGTTACACACACCTTTCTTCGAGAATTGATAGCTCGAAAGTCTGGGTTCAAGTAATTGCGGCAATGAAACTTCTATTAAAAAAAAGAAAGGCAATATATACTATAAGTTGAATATGCTATAGTATTCTGCGAACGAGTGTAATACCTCTCCTTTGTCCCCATTAAAGCTTGGCTAAGATTTCTTATGTAAACATCCTAATTCCTTTTTTTATATTACAGGTCTTGATATGTTAATAACATGCGGAAGTGGTTGTTATCTTGGTAATCGAAATGCAGAATAGAAGAATTGAAACCCCGTTAACTAATAATAGTAAGAATTCTGCTTCTCTAGACACTGGATAAGGAAACTTGGGGAAGATGAGACTGAAAGTTCCGAATACATGTTCTAGATACCTAACCTACTAAATTCCCATGCGTATTATAATGTTGAAAACGCAAGCTGTGATAGTAGCGGGCATACGCTAGGTAGTGAAGACCGAGAAGTAGATAGTTGACTAAACTTGGATGATACCATGAGAATAAATCGTATATTATTAAATGAAAGAACTAGATATATGCAGTTTTAATATTTATAGCGTCCATAGCACTACCTTAAAACTCGCTTGTGTTTTCTTAGGTAAATATGACATCAAAGGGAGGTATCTTTCCTCCTACTCGTCGCTGTCTTGTTTCATTCGTCTTGATCATGTGCCTGAAGAATAAAGTATATACTACACCTGAAGCACAACCGAATCGTATAACTTTACCGATGTCGTCAGAGGTATTTAATAGAAAACTATTGGAAGTTGGTGATTCTCCTCATCCAATATGACTAGGTAGTTAGACGGACTGCCTAAAATTGGATCGACGAAGCGCAATCGGCATTGGCCGGCTAAATTCAACTGCTCCTCGGGACATCATTATACGACCTACCGAAGACGCTCTCTAGCTTCGATGTTGAAATATATATAGCTCATGTTTAAAGGAGGGTCGTCAAGGCGTCTTTTGCTAACCTGAACTTATCTCATTCAGCTGTCTAGAAAGACTACCTCTCATTATGCCCTTAGTTCGCAATCCGATCTTGCCCGGCTTCAATGCCGACCCGTCAATACTACGGGTCGGCAGCGACTATTACATCGCTACATCTACCTTTGAATGGTACCCTGGAGTCCAGATTCACCATTCCAAAGACCTCGCAAACTGGGAGCTAGTCACGCGCCCCCTGAACCGCAAGTCTCAACTGGATATGCGTGGTGATCCTGATAGTTGCGGCGTGTGGGCGCCCTGCCTTACACACGACGGCGACAAGTTCTGGCTTGTATATACAGATGTGAAGCGCAAAGATGGTTCCTTCAAAGACACACCCAACTATATTGTCAGCGCCCCATCGATAGAGGGACCTTGGTCTGATCCCGTTTATGTCAACTCTTCTGGGTTTGACCCTTCTCTCTTTCATGATGACGATGGTAAGAAGTGGTTTATAAATATGCTACAGGACCATCGGCGCCGACCCCGGTCTTTTGCTGGGATCGTCCTGCAAGAGTTTGATCCTGCGACGGGCAAGTTAGTTGGCCCGAAGAAAAACATCTTCCGCGGAACGGAGCTAGACCTTGTCGAAGGACCACATCTCTACAAGAGGAATGGATGGTATTACCTTTTGACGGCCGAAGGTGGGACAGCATATCACCACGCATGCACGCTGGCCCGTTCCCGCGATATATGGGGTCCATACGACGTGCATCCACAGAAGCATATTCTCACCTCCAAGGATGCCCCGCTTGCCGCCCTGCAGAGAGCCGGCCACGGTGATATTGTAGATACACCCGAGGGGCGGACATATCTCGTACATTTGGCAGGTCGACCAACAACCCAGGAGCGTCGCTGTATTCTCGGTCGCGAAACTGCTATTCAAGAGGCCTTTTGGAAAGATGACTGGCTATTCGTGAAGAACGGCCCTATTCCTTCGCTCTATGTTGATGTCCCTGGAGTTCGTGACGACACCCGATACTGGGCGGAGCAAAGATATACCTTCGAGAACGGACTACACAAGGACTTTCAGTGGCTGAGGACGCCTGAAACAGACCGAATTTTTGCTACTCGGGACGGAAAGCTTGTCTTGTTCGGGCGGGAGACCATTGGATCGTGGTTCGAACAGGCATTGGTTGCGAGACGGCAGACTCACTTCTCTTATGACGCCGAAACAACAATCGATTTCTCACCAACCGACGAGAGGCAATTTGCAGGACTCACTGCATACTACTGCCGCTACAACTTCTTCTATCTTACTGTGACGGCCCATTCCGACGGCCAAAGAGAGCTACTCATCTTAACATCCGAGGGCTCTTGGCCCGACGGTAAACTCACCACACCCCTTGCAGACCCAGTGCAGATCCCTAACGAGGGAAAAGTAAGACTAGCATTAACGATTCGCGGTCGCGAGCTGCAATTCTTCTACGCGTTACACGGCGATGAGCTAAAGAAAATTGGACCGGTTTATGACGCGTCTATCCTTTCTGACGAATGTGGTGGACATCAGGCCCATGGAAGCTTCACAGGGGCGTTTGTGGGAGTGGCGTGTTCCGATGTAAACGGGACCGCGTTACCGGCTACTTTTGATAATTTTACGTATCGTCCAGTCGAATATAAGACTGATAGATATGATGTATGACAGCTTTATAATATTTTTCGTTCAAACTAAGCTTGAATATAAGAGGTATATTAGGCTTATAACAAGTAAATGTTTACATTGGTGCTTTGGTTGTCATGATTTCTCTTTAACTTAAGCACCTAAGGTACCTATCTACGGTTCAAAGTCAAGCGATTCTATGGGATCTGGTATTAATTAATTAGTCCAATCAATGATCATCTAGTATATTACGATACCAATAGAAGTAGAAGCCTTGAGTTCTAGGGGTGCAATCCATTTGATGGGGATCAAGGTACGAGGGTTTTCGCTTGAAATAACTCCCTACATATACCAAGCTATGACAATCTTACCGATCTTAGGATAGACTTTAGGCAGACAGTATCTTGTGAGCCACTCACGTCCTTATCTAACAAACCATATACTCAAGGAACTACGTAGTATTATTATCAACTTAACTATGCGATGAGTTGAGGGGCTGCTATAGACGATAAGGATCAGATGTACTCTAGGCGCAGAAAGAATATTGGCGGTGAATAGAATGGATTATAGAATTCTACATGTAAGTGGCTTGCTAGATTATGAATTGTTAGTGACTCATAGTCTTCTCCTAGGGATCTAGGTCTTGGTACCTTGTCCCATGTTACCGCCATCTTTTGTGTATGTGGGTTTAAGCCTTTGCTGCCTAGGCACACGGACTGCAATAGAAGGGTATATAGATATGTCTCATTGCAAACAACAAGCGAAATAGTTACTATTCACTTCCTACTTTACAATCTATATTATAATTACTTCACTCATACATGAGTTGCCTCTTAAGCCATGTATCTTGGAAGAGACAAGTACGGACCCCGTTGGGCGACTGGAAAATATGTTGGCACGGCAGAGACAAGAAAACTTCTGCAAGAGCTTCGTGAGTCAATGACGACGAGTCGTGAGAGTTTCGTCTTTGCCTGTGGCGGGTCCGTCCCCATTGGTTGTAAACAAGTTGATAAGCTACAACAACCCGCGGAAACGACATCTACGCAGCCCCCGACCCAAGAAGATAAAACTACTACCACGTCGAGCCTATCATTACCTCCTATTCCACCTAGTCACATGACTCTTCGATGGGATTCTCCCAACCAATCGACCCCCGGTTCGCATTGTAAGCTTGACTTTCCGACTGAACCACCTGCACCAGGAAACTTGGCTTAATTGGTAGCCGATATGAGCCCTGCTATATTTGGTCTCGGTGGGCAAGATGTCTACGATGAAAGTTATCACAAGGCTTTAAAACTTGACCCATTTCATTTCTCCTTGAATTTCTATCATGATTGTGGCATCATCGATTTAGTTGCGCAGATCTTGCTTCCAGATTGGAAAATGGACAGTAATAACCATAGAGGCGTTAGGGCTGAGCTGTATAAGCTGAACGTGAGTATTTTCAAATTAGTATCTTGCATCTATATACTAATCAAGTGATAGATTATACCGGTCCATCTGGTCACTTTCGTGCACATGTCGATACACCACGCTCCGAGTCTCAATTTGGATCACTTGTCGTTTGTCTACCGGTTGCTCATGAGGGTGGCCAACTCGAGGTCCGACACAATGGCAAGACTATATCATTTGACTGGTCACAGCTTGAAATTAATCGTCCATCTATTCAATGGGCTGCATTCTACAGTGATTGCGAACACGAAGTTTTCCAAGGTTCGATCTGGGCACCGCATTACGCTGACGTATAACCTTGATGCAACGCGTGGAAATGACCAACTAACTAGCCATCCTAGGCCTCTAGACTTGATTCAGGTGCCTCTATACAATCATATGCATGCTATCATTAGCCAAGAGATGTTCATGCCCAAAGGTAAACCCCATATTTATCATCGATTTGGACTGACAACTAAACAAAGAAATCTCAATTTAGGTGGATATCTAGGCTTCTATACAACGCATAGTTATCCTCATACTAGTTGGCACTTTTGTGAACCAGATACGCTCAAAGGTCTTGACATGGCTATATGGAAGTGCTTTCGGGCCCTTGGGTGCTCCGTGTACCTACGCCCAGTCGCTCAAGAAGATGATAATGATCGTAAAGAAGGGGGTTTTAACCAGCGGAAAGAGGTATGGGTCGGTGGATCGCTGCGTAGAGCCGAAACTGCCTTTTTTTTCCTTCTTTTTTAAACTACGACGAGATGAGAGATGAGACAGCGGTCTTATTTAAAGGGTGGTCTAGAACAGGCGACGGCCTAAGATTTCGCTATTCAGACATCTCCTGGTTGAACGACCTAGGAAAAAGGGAATTCTAGCTTGCGTACCTCGTAGTAAGTAGTAGAGCCTAAATTGTTTATACGTGATAACGATTTACTAATTGCGCGTGTTGATAGTATGGCAACAAAGCATCAGTAGACGTGCTATACTCCGTCTGTGCTATCATAGTCGAGGTGCCGCCTTATGCGCAAAGGGTTGGGGCTAAGGCTTAGATTCTTATTCTTCAACCTAGTCGTGGTTTATTCACTCCGAAGAATCAGCTACGATAGTGGCATGTTTACCAACTCTTCGGCCCGGAATTCTTAGTAGTTTAGATACCTCCTTAGAGGTAACAATATGTGCGGAATAATATTCACCTACCAAATATACAGAAATCTAGATAGAATCATTTAAAATTATTGTTACGCCGGTACTTCGCTATTGTCCATCGTATGCGTAGCTTCTAGTTTGCCAAACTTGACAGCTCTCTAACCACATAGGGGGAGGGCAAGGTTGTCTACTAGCTTATTGTAACTACCTGGCCATATACGTTTAAGAAGGAACGTGAAGCGGGAAAAATATGATTGTAGACTTACGAGAACTCATAGGAACTAAGCCGAATTATACAACCATGAGAAGCCCAATGGAGCTTGAAATACCTCTAACAGATGTCTCGAAACAACCTGTACCCTTTACTACCCATGGCCTAACAAAATGGGATGGGATTATCCCACGGGGTTTTCTTGACGGCAGTGAACCAACCAACATGTACATGACTAACCGTCTGGGGGAAATGATCATTAATCACCTAGACGGATCAAAGACCTGGACTAAATTCAGCTCGTGGTCAAGCTGTATAGCATACGCCAGTATGTGATCCATAGAACACCTAACGCAGCTCCTCTATAGACTATTATATACGCGATACAAGTTTCCCCATTAAACTATCCTTCAATTTTTGGATCTAGGCGCGTTCACTACTCTAGGATTGTACAATGCAAATTTGTAGATAATTAAAGGAGCAAGAAACCTTCTATAAACATCGCTAACATCGTACACAGAGGAGGTAGTTAGCCTTTAAGGATTGATAAGGCCTTCTCCAGGTCTTGCTTCAAATCCACATCCCAGATCCAACTCATACGCGATTTGAAGTTTCTTTCAATAGCCTCGAGATCGTCACCTTCGAGTTCGAACTCGTATAGCATGCCGGCCTCTCTGCTGGTTTCTACCAACTTGAGGGTTCTCAGCCGCCTTACCTCATCGTATACTTGGAACGCCTTGCTAAGATCTTGGGTGCTTTTTGCTGCTCCTATGAGATGGCTTAGGATATAGCAGTCTTCAATGCACATACCGGCACCTGCGCCCTGGTGAGGCGTGGTACCGTGCGCAGCATCGCCGAGGAGACATATTCGAGGGCTTAACCCGTAGTAAGTTTCTGCAGGTGGATCGTTAAAGAGAGCCCAGACGTCTCTTTTCTCCATAGAGTTGATGATGGAATTCACCGCAGGTCCCCATGTACTATAATCGGCCAGCATTTTCTCCTTTGATGCTTTCACCACCCACTGTGGATCGGTCCATGTGTCGCAAGAGCTGAAGGCCACAACTGTGATACAACAATTAGCTTAAAGCAGGGGGAATATTTTCTTAGAATGCCAACCATTCATAGTCTTACCCTTCTCGATTGGGAAGGTAAGCAGGTGACGATGATAGCCCATCCATAACTGAGGGTTTTCGGCTATTTCAGCGCCTAGTAATTCCACGGCTCGTTCCATCGGTATCAACCCCCTATATGCGTATTTTCCAGAGAATACGGCTTTCGACTGTTCGCCCAGCAGTATCTCCCTGGTCTTGGATTTTATTCCGTCACAACCTATCACAGCACTATGCTGCGCCGTAGTCCCGTCCGCGAAGTGCAAAATAGCATCCTGCGATCCGTCTGTAGCGCTGCTGATGTTAACTAACCTCTTGCCGAATCTCGACACGGAGTCCGGTATCAGCGTGAGAAGGTCATCTAGGAAATGTGCTCGATGCACACCGCCGGCAAGTCTATCGTCAGTGTATTGAATGTCGAAAATTGGGTCTCCGACTTTCAACCCCTCCTTTTCCTTCTGCTTCAGCACTCCATCTAGGCCTGCCTTTCTCTGATCGCCAACCCTAATCGTGAACCAGTTCTTTCGCTTGCTCTCCCAACCGAGAGTAACACGTCGCTCAAGCCCCTCAAACAGCTCGCGAGAAATAAGTTCAACGGCAGTTGCAGCATTTGGCCCGAACCCCAAGCCGGCGCCAATCTCGGTAAATTTCGAAGAAGATTCGTAAACTGTAAAGGGCACGTTTTGCTGCAGGAGGGCAACTGCGAGCGTCAGTCCGCTTATACCGCCCCCGACTATAGCAATATCAAACGGCTTTGCGGCAGTCATGGCGTGATGAGAATCGACGGCTAGAGATGTTGGAGTGTGTAGTTGTGTGGGGCGTTAATACGTAAAGGGACGACGCTCCGAGTAGCAGCCAGGGTTCTTATAGCACAACAAAACAGTAATATTATTGGAGAAATATTGTTACGATGCCATTAATATGTCCCCATCCACTACCGGCGATGAATGCGCAAAGGAACGTGAATTCGGCGCATCGGAGGCGCGATAGGAGTATGATGATATCTTTAGGTGAGCTTGTCGTACACCTGTGGATGCGCGACCGATTAATCCCGTGTTAGTTGCAACCCTGGTTGTCATTATCATGAAGAATAGTGTCTTCCAATGAATAGAGCATTTACAACGATAAAATGGGTAGTCTTTTGCTATTTACCCTGGAAGTTGAATATTTCCGAAGCTAGATCTTTATAAGACCTTAGTAAAATCGGGCATCGTCAGCGCTGGGGATCCCGGTTGATTATTATCGCCTAATCACCAACTAGAAGTCGTCTCTTCTCCGATTTTTGTCGGGATTCGGGTTACCCGGCCTAAACCCATCTTCCGTGTTGCTATACCTGTCTCGGCCTCGGCACAGGATCACGGCTCCGATGACTATAAACTCAGCATTATGTTATGATTATGTTATGATCATGTCAAGATATAAGAAATGCATCTAGTGGCCATTTAGGGGACGATTACTGAGCGCAAAAGTATCGAACAGTTATTTCCGTCGTTGGCGAAATTCAGGAGGCGTCACTCGTGATCTCTTAGACACGGTAAGCAGCCATCTCACTAGGTTACTAGGTTAGAAAATGTGTAGGTAACTACCTAGACTTGCGCTTATTAAGGTAACGGGGAAAGTTTTATAGACATTATTCTATCTTCTCTAGTTTATTCCTTAATGCACCATTCTCAATGCTCGTCACATTTCCAGCGGCATCGATGTTAAAGATAAACTGATCCAACGGTTTGGAGCCGTACATGATCCCCGAAACGCCGACCCAAGTCGAGCAGTCCGTCGTAAAAGGCTTCGAGGCGTTGGGTAAGCTTAGGTCCTCGAATATTGCCTTGAACGCAACTCTTTTTCCTCCGTCAGATGTCGCGTCCCACAATCCAGTTGGATAAAGACGAACACTTGGCCGGATTTGACTCCAATAATCCTTGGTCACGTTTCGGCTCATGGCTACAGAATACCATAGCAAGTTCGTTCCATTGCTGATCCATGAACTTAGACTCAGACCAGGAGTTTTACTGTCAACCACGATGCTTAAAGATGAATTCACCGCAGAATTAGGGTTCTTATATGATCCACCATAGAGCGCATCCGCCTGGATGCGTGCCGTGTTCACCATGGTTGGGAGGTAAGTATTCGACAACGTGTCTGCTATATCCATAGTTAAACTAGCGGGAGCATCGCCAGCGGTCAGGATAGAGAATCCAATATTGAAGTCTGGAATGATAGCTAGCAAGGTGCTATACCTCCCTAGACTCCCGGCTTTGTTGAATGTAGTCGCGAATTGGTAAGGCGAATCTGCGATCGTAAGGTTAATATATTAGTTAATCATTCAGAATTGATTTGCGTGCCTTTAGAAAATTGAAGCTGACGTACACCCCACGGTGCACCTACGCTAGATTTTGGATCTGAGCTGAAGCTCGTGGGCTTGAGCCATCTTCTCGTCATAGATGGTGGCAGAATAGTTGACCTTAATATGGCTCTGCCGACTCGGGATAAATCCGAGGAAGATGTATACATATTACCGGTACTTTCCATTGGTGAGTTACTTAAGAACTAGTGATAAGTAGATATTTCAGGATCGTACTTACGGCGACTCATTGCCCATGTTAAAAGCCCAACTCGTTTCGTAACGACCGCCTGGTATAATCCCGAGTGAATCTGCGGGAGTTGTATAGAAAGTACGATTCAAACCAAGGGGCTTAATAACTCTGTCTTGGACTACCCTGCCGAACGACTTTCCCGTCATCTGTTCCAAGGCGTATCCAAGGAGTGTATAACCGATGTCCGAGTATGTTGGCGTAACAAATGGCGAAAACGATGGGGGAAGTTTACTAAGACCTTCGAAGTATTCTAACAAATTGGTTAGTTCTAAATGAACTGGTGTCGGCCATATGTAAGCTGTTAGGGGCAAACATACGCGTTCTATTGCATACTGGCCTGTTGCCACAAGGAGGTATTTCTGCATCTTCTAAGACGGGGAATCCAATTGAAGCTGCCTGCGTGGTGGTTGACCCTTGTGTGAGTTCGCCCAATAAAGCGTCTAAAAGTACCAGTTGCATAAGATTGTTTTCGATCAACATTGCGAGAACGGGTAATAACTTACAGTCTCTAACAAGGCCCGACATTTGACTAGCTAATGACCCAATTGTGATAGAGTCCCAGTCTGGCTTTGAAATTGAATGAGAAGTGTCGACGTCAGTGACCATCGCCTTTATTTCCGGAATATATTTAGTAATAGGTTCATTCCACATAGTATCGCCTACTTCAGCGAGGAACGTTAATATGGTAAATATCTTTGTAACACTTCCAAGTCTGTACACGGTATTACCATCTACGTTTTTGACTCCTGTCGAGTTGAGATTTTTTAAGTTAGTTGCAGTCCAGTGATGCGACCACAACGGTTCATCTTCATCAGCGGAAAATACTTCAACTGAATAGGAGAATCGATCCGATTTAGTCTTGTTAGAATTGTCGATGTATTGTGCAAAAGCCGAGTCGAGAGAACTTGCCGCCTTCTGAATACCCGGTTGGGTAAGAAGGTCGGTAGGGTTCGGATATCCTAAGCCATACAGAGGGCAATTCTCTTTGGCATAGATACCGAGTATAGTAAATAATGCTATGACTCCAAATGATCGCATTTTCAAATATGTCTACGTTAGAGAAGTTAGTTAAGATGGGAGTCAGTATATCATATGACACAATTATATTAGGTTCGAATAGTAGAAGAATTATCATTCCTTTTACGCATACGGGAGCTACAAGCAATTGCTTCACATTAACCCCGCGTCGAATAAGGCTATCAGATGCAGACTGCAACCCGGGTAATTAACCGCCAAGCGAATGGTGGGATATTGCTGGTGTCTCATTGCGTATAGAAGCCGACATTGATAGGAACTTGATCAGGTTCCCTCCGCGGTGCTAATAGGGGTAGTTAAGTTTTGTTCATATATCCAAGACACGAATCGGAGTCCTGTCCAATTAGAGACGCCTCATATATCTCTATTCTGAAGTTTTCTTAGGTATGTAGGTATCCCGATATTGTGGTAGACCTCATGATTCTACACCGAGGACCGGGGATCGAGTTTACTTGAACATAAATTATAATTAAGTCCGCATTCCAATAGCCGCGCCCCATCGTCGATAATTGGTTATACACCTATGTAATATATCTGTTAATGGTATGGTAGACATTTGGGCCGTGTATCCATAGGGGGGAATGTATATCATTAAAGGTCTAGGTTAGGTTAGATTACCTGATTCATTACATATGTAGACCCTTGCCTTATCGGATTACGTGATAAATGGGGACGGACCGTGATCCCAGTGACGTGATATTCTAATAATTTAAGGTTCGGAAGAGATGCTGATTAATTGTAAATTGTAAATTGTAAATTGCAAACGGTAAATGCTAAACTACCTTAGATACCTAACCTACCAACTATAAATTATAAACTATGAACTGTAACTAAGGAAACTCATGGACGACGACGACAATACGAATACGGCGTCTGAAGGTCGCAAACGCCCGAGATCACGAAGCGATGACGTACCCTCCTCAGCTTGTGATCAATGTCGATATCGTAAGATCAAATGCGATAGGCTTCAACCAGAGTGTTCTAGCTGCCGTAAAACCGGCATCGCCTGTACCTCGTCTGGCACCGTTAAGCGGGTGAATCAAACCAAGCAGCTGCAAGTATTCTCGTCCTGAGCTTTACTATTTATAACAAATTAACAGAGCATCTTCTTCTTGTAGCCGAGACGATTTCACCACCGTCCTAGAACGTCTCGACGGAGTCGATCAGACTTTAAGCGCCCTCACTAAAATCACCGAACAACTCGCTGCTCGAGCATTCACTTCCAACTCGAATCCCCCTCCTCCTACTTCATCTTTACCTCAACCAACACAGACCTCGGGTAATGATGAAGGTAGTGCCATTTTACCAAGCGTCCAGAGGGATCGACCTGGACGAGTGGCCGAGGATAGATGTCGACATGAAACTATACGGTTAGGTCAAGGGGGTGAACGGACTTATAGCTATCCTGCGGCTATTCCTTTACTTGTATCATTATCCAAGCAGCTAGCCCAATTTCTCGTCGAGCGCGGGGGTCAACAAGACGGCGATGTAGACGCGATCGTTAAGGACCCAGCGTTGCGAATTGCTCTTCGACGACAGCTCCAAAACTTTCCCTTACCACAATGCCAGCAACCCGTCATAGCGAGCGACCATAAGCCTATCACAGCTCCACCGCGATTTTTACTTGACTTATTTGTTAATAACTTCTTAGGCAATATCAACATCCGCTTTCCAATATTCGAAGAGACACTGCTTTATCGTGCTATTGATACGTATTATTCGGCCGAGTCGTCGAGCGATAGTAGCGCTTGGACATCCATATTCAACAATATCGTTTTGCTTGGTCTGGGTCTCGAAGTGCAGGTAGCGGAAGCTACCCAGTCTAATACAAGGAATATGAACAATGATCTACTTCCTTCTTTCTTACAGAACTGCGACCGTGCTCTGGCTGATCTCGACCCTTTCACATGCCCCTCCATAATTAACGTTCAGGTGCTCATAATGCTGGTATGTTACAACAACTCTCCCGTATTTCTCTATTCGTACTTGAAGACGGACTTCTAACATATTTCTGCGGCACATTTATTAAGGCCCTCGTATCTAAGCAATTCTATGGTAATATAATGTTTGAACGTATGTGTCAGACGGCCTGCCAGGTCGGCCTTACTCTTGGGCTCCACCGATCCAGAACCAGTGAGGACGACGCCGGCCACAGACAAACAGAGTCGGAACGACTATTCAGAGTTCTCTATGCTCTAGACAAACAGCGTGCTTTCATGTCTGGCCAAACTTGCGATATTCATCTATTCGATTCGGACTTGACTTTAAGCTCCACCAACGATAATGAGCCGCCAAGTCGCCGACTCAACAACGGTTTCGACCATATGATGGAAATTTGGGAAGAAGTATACCTCTCCCTTTATTCTTCGAGGGCGAATACTGCCGAAGAGGTATATCGTGTTCGACAGGCGCGTCGCATGACTCAGCTTGTAGATGAATGGCACCAGCAAAACCACGAATTAATAGCTGCCACATTCCCGGGAGATACAGCAGGACTAACCAGCATACAACTTGAACTAAAGTATTGTTATCATGTAACTCAGGTTCTTTGCCTTCGTCGTGATCGCCAGGACGAGCTTGCTCAGCGGCAAATGCGCGATCATGCTCGCATCTGCCTCAGACTTGTTTCCGAGGCCGGTTCCTCGTCACCCACTACGACAAGTTTAGCTCTACTGGACCGAATGCTCGGCAACTATCCCGTAGTAGCATTCATAGAGATAGTCGCATTTTACTTCAACACCTTAGCCAAAGGTCAAGTCCCCGCACTAGAACTCGAGGCTGATTTAGAAATCCTATGGGCAGTTTGTCGGTATCTCCAGGTTTTGCACAATCCTAGTTTTCAGGCGACGTATTACCCTCGTCTACGAGACGGTTTAGCATGGGCTCTAGAAAATATCGAAATTATGAAAGCTAAGCCAGGAGGTCAATCACAGGGACCTCTAGACTATATCGATATCAGTCCCCTCGGTCTACGCTGCCCAAAGTCCTTTTTTATCCCAACCTCCACCTCAAGTCCGGGAGGAGATCCAATTTCAACTAGTTCCCCAACCAACAGAACGGGAGAGAACTTAAATACACCCCTAATGCAGCTTCCCGAAGATGGTGGGATGGTTCTGGGGGAGTCCGCAATAGATATCATAAACTTCGACTTTTGTACAACTGCACCTCCGCCAACCTTTTTAGATGGATCTGGTCTACAGTCTTATCCCACACCTAGTCACTCGGAATATAATATAACATCAGATCTATTTCAATTATTTACGACTGAAAAATGAGTTGGGAGCTCCTTTTCTACACCAGTGTTGCTTATGCATTTCGACTGGTTTGCCCGGCTCGACTGTACGTATAATGCCTATCGAATCACATACTAGGCTAATTATCTTATTTTTTATTTTTAAATTTGCATTCGCAAATGTTAAGCGAGTTGGAAGGTCAGTTGTAAACCATGACTAAATTCATCATCTGGCGCAAATTACGAGTTTAAAACTAATTTAAATATAATGGCACAGCCAGCATCCTCTTCTGGTCTACTTGACATAGTATTCAACAGCTATGAGTTATATGTGCGCTGTTAAATAATATATGTCGAATTATACACCCGAGATAGTTATTTTATTTTCGCTCCGTTGAGATCGTCCTGTGCGAATAGCCATTATTGTACGTCAATCCGAAGGAGCCAAAGATTTATTTACTCACATTAATACTAAGTCCCAAGTTAGCCCGTAGGCAAGTAGTTTATTAACATCAGACCTTACGGAGGGAGCCATGTATACCGGGTCTCTTTAATAACTGAGGCTATTTTTACAATGGAAGTAAATCATGGCATTTCCCCTTTCATTTTGGATTAAACTATCAACTGATAATACTTGATGCGATCTAAAGTTCTAACGATGAAGATATAACTGCGTGAATTTCAGCATATACCTACCTCTCCGTTAAAGTCTTATAAATACACTAAAAGTTTTATAAATACACTGAAATTCGGGTTAACAATAGCATCGACGTTTGACTTATACAGTGTTTGACCAGAGGTGACATGCTTGGCGTCCACCCTTTTCTTACTTGTATGCTCTCCACTATTTCAAGATATCCAGTCCCAAATAAAAATGGGCTGAGGCAACCCAACGTGCTGAACCAGGGTACAATTTCATACCCCTTGTCAATATGCCGATATATACATATATGCGAACCTTGTGTTGCGTGGCGAGGTCGTAGTAGAGTAAATTAAAAGACCAGCCCGTTATAAGAAGATGAGGTGCCCTTGATATTACATATAATACGAATTACCGGCCAATTGCTTGGCCTTTTAATCTCTATAACCTCCGTAATCCACAAATCAACGCTCTCTCTTGCGTGAGCATTGCTTACCTTGGTACCTATCCAATTGGTCAGAGACTCGAGCTCCTTCGCCCACAATGGGCCATCCCGAAGCCAATACCAATACCAATACCAATCCAGGGGCTGACATCTCTGCTCCCGTCATACCAATAAAACCAGACCTAGGACGAAACTCGGAGAAGGTCGAGGACGTAGAAACAGCAAGGGAGATCGGGGAGCAAAATGGAGCGGAAAATACTGAATCAACACTAAGAAAGTCGCTTTCTTTTAAACTGGCCTTCGTAGGGCTTGCGGCAATCCTTTTTGTTTTTCAGCTAGATGCGACTTGTCTAGGCATTGCCCTTCCAGTGAGCCATGACACCCCCTTCCTGGTCTGTATGCCGCTTAGGTTACATATTGATACCCATCGTTAGACTGTAGCTGGCGAGTTAAAGGGCTCGAGTTTGCAATCGTTCTGGGCGAATCTGGCATACACCCTATGCGGTCTGGTCATGCAGCCAGTTTGGGCCGGCATATCCGACGCGTTCGGTCGAAAGCCGCCTCTCTACGTGTGCATGGCATTATTCCTTACCGGTTCCGCTATTTTTGCCCTGGCGCAAAATATGAACACCGTCATTGCCGCACGGGTCCTCCAAGGCTTCGGCGGCGGGGGAATCGACGTTTTGACCCAGGTGATTCTCGCCGATATGACGACGCTGGAGGAGCGCTCGAAATATCTCGGTTTGATGGCTATTCCTTCGGCGGTTGGCAACATCATGGGACCTAGCGTTGGTGGCCTTTTTACTACGTATGCTACTTGGAGGTGGATTGGATGGATCAACCTGCCGTTCCTAGGAGTAGGGACGCCTTTGGTGGTGTTCTTCTTGAAGCTGCGGCCCGTCCCGCTCGATGCAACGCTGGCCAAGAATTTGAGGCGCATTGACTGGATTGGCATGGCACTAGTTATTATCGGAATCACGATTTTTGTTATACCAGTCAGTTGGGCGGGTTCTTTATTTCCATGGGCTTCCTGGCAGACACTCCTCCCGATGCTCTTAGGAGTCGCGGTGCTTGCCGCCTTTGCCTTCTACGAGGCGAAGCCCGCGGCACCCATTGTTCCTCATCGACTCTTCCACTCCAAGACCGGAAATATGGCGCTGCTAGGGGGCTTCATCCATGGAATGGTTCTGGTTTCTTTATTGCAGTACTTGCCCTTGCTCTACCAATCCGTGGAGCTTGAAACCGCAATCTCAGCGGCGGTCTCACTGTTGCCTACATGTATTATCAGCGTGGTGTTCGCAGCCGTCGCAATGATGATGGTCCCGTTATTCGGAGGATATGTATGGCTTCTACGACTTTCATGGGTCATCCTTACGCTAGGAACTGGCTTGCTGGCTCTCTTCGATGTTGGGACCTCATCATCCACGCGTTACGGGCTTCCTATTCTCTGGGGACAAGGCGTTGCGTTACTACGTCTCAATATTCTTCCTATGCAAGCGAGTGTGAAGAATATCGATGACACAGGCGTAGCTATTGGGTCATTTCTCTCCATTCGCATGTTTGGAGGTCTTATTGGCCTCACCATCTCCTCGACTATCTTTAGCAATGTTTTCTTGACGTTCATCTCTGACAGCGCCCTCCAGTTAACGGGAGGTTTAGCACCTCTGAAAGACGCTTCAAATGCGGTGAACTTCATTGAAAAGTTGAGATCACTAGATGTTTCTCTCACAACTCTAAGTCAGGTCTTGGGGGTCTATTTAAACTGCTTCCGGACGATATTTTATACGATGACCGGCCTGAGTGCATTGGGCTTGATAACTTCGATGTTCTTAGATGAGATAGATCTGAAAGGGCGAGATCTTGGGAACCAGCGTTTTGAGGAATAGCCAAAGACGGGGAAAGAGACTCGCCTCGTATCAGTAATATTTGATTCTAATAAAATAATAGACATATCTCAACAGCGCGTAGCTTTATGTATATTGTACCTCATTAGGTATCGTGCGTCATATCCTCGACTCCATCATCTTCGTAGATCTCCTCACCGTCAAAATTGACAATGTTAATTCATTCTTGGGTGTTCCCAGTTTTTATCATCTATGGGTTATCACAGTGATAGATCATACAGTAGCCTACAGACTGCAACCTGCAGAAACTATCACATATTCACGAGGAAGTGGATCTCATCCGCCACGAAGGATGATCTACTTAGATGATCTACTCGTCACAGAGATTCGTGCCGAGGGTAAAAGTGGGCTTGCGCGCGACACGGTTCATAGAGAGAACTCAACATATGTATTGAGGCTTCACGTCAACTTCGTAACCAGAGTACATGAACCAAATTCTACCACGGACGGGGTTTGAATCTGACGGTCCGGGAGACAAGATCCATGTATGCCGCACCAAGTAGCAAGAGTCAAGAAGCACTGATTACCTGTAGGTACCTGTTCCTACCCCTATCCCTATCCCTATCCCTATTCGTAACCTATTGCTGCCCGAGGTATTCCATCGTAAATCCCGTGTACCTAAAATATCCAATTAAGGTAATAAAACACTCCATACGCCATACACTTGAACGCTATGCTATTCCGAACTCATCCTCTAAAATTTCAGCACTATATGCATAGTATATACACCCCACTCCGGAGTTGCTTGGTGACTTATATTACCCCTAATATTTAGGTAGCGATTTTGCTGTACCGGATGATGTCGGATATGTCGATTTAGGCTTCTGACAGTAGACCGTCATCCTAATGTTCGTTAATAACTATTCACATCATCATTATAGCTCAGCTTACAGAGTAGAGAACGAGTGAATACGCGTGTTGTCAATGTCCTTCCGCGCTTCAGCTAACAGCTTGTCTACCGCGTGGTTAGACCACCCCAGCCCTTGCGTAAACACACCGCGGGAGTAGATGTCGATGACCTCCAGCGTATTAATCCTCTGCCGTGCACCGATCCTTTGATACTGCTTCCCGGGAGCCCAAGTATTAGTAGGCACAGCGTATTTCAGTTCGACGATATTTTCAAACCCCGCTTCTTTTAGCAGAGCTTTATACTCGAGGATGTAGAATAATGACCTTCCTAGCTTTTCGAGACCTATTATAGGAGTTAGTTCTGTTGTAAAGAAGGGAATGATTCTGGGGCGACCTTCCTTCAGTCAAAAACATGTTCCATTTTTGGAAAGCTGTGCCTTCAACAGATTTGTCCGAGGACTGAACATGGAGAAGCCACTCCTGAAACTCGACCCAGCCACCGGGTGCGAGATTATCGTAGATGGACTTAAACAGCCGGCGTTTGTTGGTGGGTTCCCCTAGGCTTCGCACATGAATGAGGTCAAAAGAGCCGCCAAATCTCCATTCCTCATCGGCGTCTGCTATGAGGAAATGACAATTCTGTGGAATGAAGGGCGGGTCTGGCACAGGATTCAGGTCTATTCCAAGCACGTAACAGTCGGGATTTCTCTTTGCTACACATATATTAGTATTCGTATAGAGATAGGACGGGAAGTAGGAACATGCCGAACTCTAGTGCCCATATTCCTGTACCGGTACCGACATCAAGCACTCTCCTGGGATTTGTCACCGGACAGATATGTAAGGCCCCATCGTGTACATCAACACTGATCTCATGTTGAAGGTCTGTCATTTTGGGTCATCGGTCAGTTTCATGTCAATACAATGGTAGGGTAGAGTCTTACTATTCCTCTCTTGCTCTTGCTAAATGTTTGTCCATTTTAGCACAAGATCACGGTTCAAGACGGCATGTACTTAGTCGTGCATACCTTATCATGGGGCAAGAAGTAGTCTTTACATTGGATATTAGCACTAGAGCTCACTTGAACATGGAGAATCACGGTGGAGACGTACTCCTGTTAAATGTGCGGCCAAATTTATAGACTATTGATCGGAAGAGCCTCGAAGAACTTGAACCGGTTGCTGCCCTGGCGAAACTTCTAAAAGAACAAGTAATCCTACTGTTAGTTTCATAGGTACCTAAGGTTGCAAGGATAGATATACAAAGTGAATATGATCGGATTGCCTACTTCTTAGTAGTCTGGCGGTAGTCATAGTTCTCGACAGGGTCATCTTCCCCGTCACCGCCGACGCTAGGACCAGCTCCGAAGTCGAAGTTAGATGGTACATATTGGAAAGGATCGGCAGTTTCGATTGGAAGTGACGACGACGACGACGACGAGCCATTCGTTGTCGCCGTTGACTTTAACGTAGAGGTTGAAGCCTTCGTTGATGGGCTAGTAGAAGGGTAGATAGGAGGGAGATCCCAAGAAAGAGTATTAGTGTAGTCTCGAGGGCGAGGGTCATGTGGGACGTGGGCGGTGGATGGGGGAGTTGGGGGTCTCCTAGTCAATAATCCATTTCGTCCACGGCCTTTTGGCGAATCTATAAGATCAGTAGTTTCCATTTGGACGGTTCAAGTTTTCGTTTTCGGGTCCGTGTCCGTGGTGTGTATATTTGTTAGTGAGTTGGGGGCCAAAGCACAAACGTTCGGCTTCGGGCTTCGGGCCGTTCCCGTATTTACCAGCACAAAACTCAGCTCAAGTTTTATTGGGGCTGAGAATAGCTTATGATAATTCGAATGAGGATAGGATGATGGCATACATTGACCTTATAGTATTTGCAGCGAATACTATGCTCTATTCGTAAGGAGGGAA